GCCGGCGCCGCCGGAGCCGCCTGTCGGTGAGGCGCGCAGTGAAATGACTCTACCGCGGCGATCGCGGAGAATCGCAGAGCGGAACGCTAATGTCGACAAGGAAGGGTGTTGATGGCTCGCGATTTGTTCGGCAGCTGTTTAGGACCCGATTGTTGGCAGCTGTTTATGACCCGAGCCGACGCCGGGGCTGCGGCAATAATGAGCGTGCTTTTTGACTGACTGTGGCTGACTGGACGCACGTGGCTGCTCCGTGCATTGGTTTCTCAATTCTCACTTACTGTTGGTTCTGTGCCAGCCTGCTGATTGCGTTTGCCCTGCTTACGAGGTTGGTCTGTTCTTTTCTCATCCGTCGCACCTACCTGTGGCCTCTGTTTCTGCTCGAATATGGCCAATAGATTTATCCCGCAGTAACCTTGCTCTCTTCTCTGGATCAGAGTCACAGTGCAACACGACAAAATCAACAGTCCAGTAAAAAGGCACCAGCAAGGAGAATTCTAGGCAGAGGTAAAAAAGTCAAAAGAGTCAATAGCTTCACCTCAGTCACCTACTAATGGTATAAGAAATACAGTATGATTGGATAAGATGTTTGTATCATGTCTCGTGCTGTGTCACTCACTTTATAAATGAAGTGACAATGCCAAGCGACCGTCTGCATACTTAATTGACACGTTTGGCTAAACCCATTGGTTAGTTATTATGAAACAAGGCTGGAACTCGATTGATTTCAAGCTTCTGCTCCCCGCTTAGGATTTTGTTCACGCTCAAATACGAGTATCCTTTTAGTATGAGCTCATGAAGTACAAAACATAAAATATACAGAACACGGGGCAGGTGGTTCCCTTGAAATAATTTCGGCATGTTAACACTGGCTCTATGGCATTGCATGGTAAAATGGCTTTAATATCCTAAAATCAATCATTAGAGCACTACCGATAAATTTCCGACAGTGACGCCAGTGACAGGCCCAAGTGTGAGATTATCTTGGAAGACCGCAGACAAAATTGAAAGCCCATTACTTCCACGTTATTGGCAAGTAAACAAAGCATCATGCTCATAGAACGATGGTTTAACGCCCAGAAACTGGGCGTCGTGTAAGTCACTCACATGCATGTACCGCAGCTTCGGACACTGCACACTGCACAGTGCAATACTGTGCAATACAGGATGTAAGCCAGGCACACCAATATCACGAGCTAACATTTGATGTAAAATGTTTCAAACAGCGGTTTTTATTGAGTAATTGATCTAACAGTTGGGATTACCAGTCTCGCCTTATTTTGACAAGCTATTCCACATGAAAGAGGCAACTACGGTTGCTGTTTCAGTCCCTCGCCCGTCTATAGTCAGCGGCTGCCAATATTTGGGACCAGAAATAGCCCACAGCCATCGGGCGCTAACGAGCAAATGAGACACGGAACGTAAAAACCGTGATGCGGCTCTCTGAAATCGTGTAATTCAGCACCAGCATACTGGGGATTCCTCGTAGTCACAGTTTACCAGCGAACGGACCACGACACCCCAAAATATCTGTAGCCGTTCCAGCGGTTATTTTCACATTTGTTCAATCTGCGACAGCAGAGGGATCAACAGTACAGGGTGACAGGCGACCAGTCCCTCGGGAGCGCGGGGTCGGGCACAGAAAGGTCACGAGGTCAGCGGGGTCAACTGTTGAACGTAGTAGTGTGTTGGCATAGTCACAGGACAGTCACAGGCACGGGAGAGAAGGGAGAAGGGTAGCGACAACAAAGGACAGTCCCAGTCGGCCAGCAGGAATGTGATAGGTCTGTCATGATCGCTTATGAGCACTTAGCATCCATGATAATCTTAATTGTCCTTGTCGCTTTTAAATAAATTATTATCCAATATTCGATAACCTTGGTGAAGCATGCTAATAGTCATACAGCTGAAAAACAGGCTCACTTTCACGATAGCATCTTGCCAAACTCAAGACACTATTACTATATACGCGTGCATGAAGTTAGGTGGAATTCAGTACAAGTTCGCTGAGCCTATCCAGACAAATACTGTCGAAAAGTCGCCACATCTTCCCGATCTAAGCACCATAAATCTCACCGCGCATGCGTCCCGACAGCACCTATGAGTCATCACGTAGCCCGTCAACGCCCCACACCCGTCGGAGGCAACAAGTGTTCGGGGCGAATGTCGGCTACGCAGTATCCATCACATCTCTGTCAGCAGGAGCAGGAATGTCAACAGGACGTCAGGATATTAGCAGGATGTTAGGAGACTGTCAGGATGCCAAGAGGATGTCAGCAGGAAGTCAGGACAATGTCACGAGGAGCAGGATATCAGTAAGATGTCAGGTTATCAGGAGGATGTCAGGCTATTTGAAGAACATCCGGAGAATGTCAGAAGGAGCGAGATGTCCGCGGTACGTCAGCCGGACAGGACATCAGACAATGTCTGCCGGGTCGAAAACCCACCAGGGACACACGCGGGTTCATTACATTCTCCCCAAGGACTCTCCAAGGACCTGTATTCGTGCTGCCATCGTTTGGGAACACCCAACAGTCGGGCAGTTACGGCTCATTCGGCCGATTGTCGCCAGCTCGTAAACGTTAACACTTAACACCCTCGGAGCAGCTTCCGATCCAAGGCCGGAATGCCAACAACGCCCCACAAACTATCTCCCTTCGTTTACTCTCGCTGCCCTGGCATGCACGATAAGCGCTCCTAAATCAAATCAGACATCCCCTGTCCAGAGCCGCCCCCCCCCCCCCCTCAGTACCCAGCTCGGAGGCCGCAAATACGTCCCCTCCGACCCACGGCGCTGTCAAATCTCGGCTCGGCGAAACATGTGCACGACTGGAGACCGGGACGCCAGACGCCCAGACGTCTCTGAGACAGGAGCTGCCGCATATCGATTTCGTCTGGATTCTAGAGCCCCCCCCCCAGCCGCAGCTGGCGGGGGGGGGGGGGTCGATAGCTTTACAAAGCGTGGTCATGATCTATGGTCATTGGTCATGACACTCGGTCATCAAGCGTAGTCATCACTGGGTACATGACAGAAATGTACACACTGAGTGTGAGAGAGAGAGAGAGAGAGAGAGAGAGAGAGAGAGAGAGAGAGAGAGAGAGAGAGAGAGAGAGAGAGAGAGAGAGAGAGGGCTGGCGTGGTTTACGCCAGGGTGTGCGATCTCATATCACCTAACTTAGTAATCTGGTGTTCATCTCTCAGTAGGTAAATCGGTCAACGAGAATGACATTTGCAGCGGTACGGTTGTAAAACTGTACCAGATTGCCAGCTGAGGATCCTCGTCACTTCCAAAAACACCTGACTGCATCACTCTAGCGCTAGTAAATCTCCATCGACCCCGAATTATTCCACTTGGCACTTACAACCGTGGACGCCTTATCACTCGGTATTTGACAGAATTGTCACTAGTTCAGATCCTCCACCGACTAGCCCATAGTTCATTACGACTACGCTTTCTAGAAACCCACACAAATACGAATAAAGCCACCGCCACGTTAACACCACCCGTGGGACGTAGCCGAGTACGCTCAGCGGCCGATCGAAGGGATCAGACAGTCTGGTGGGACGTTCAGCAGCGGACCCCGTGACCGAACCGTCTGCTGTATGTCTGTGTGTTGTGGAGCGGTGTGGTGTAGCTCAGTCGTCACCCGATGGGTCCTAACCTACACCAACCGATATACTTTGCACAGGCAGCCGCGCACTACTGAGAAAAGGTAGGTATCAATTTATAAGGTTCGAAGTCTGTGGGGTTTCTGGAGCTGGACATAAGGGAAATGGTACGTTGACATGTAAGATGTAAAACACTAATACCTAAATAGATTTATTGATGTTGGAGTTCACTCTCAGAACCCCAGATGGCTGAAAAGGGTACAAAAAAGCGGATATGGCTCTGGTTCCAGATGGTTATATAATGTACTTATCAAACAGACTCTATGGAACTTCGATTCCCCGTGCAAAGTGCAGGCCGGGACAGCGCTAAAATAGAAACTGCCTGTAGGTTTTTGTGGACTCCGTTGCCATGACAACCGACAGCGACAATATAGTGTTTCAGGTGGCGAGTTCACTAATTTAACACCAACGAGAACCCATTTGTTTAAAGGCCTTTGCGAAACATTGCCATACAAAAAGTCATCCGGTTGATACTTTACAATGAAAGTACTTAATTTCGATACGGCATTTCGCTTCCAAGCAAGACTCGTTCCAGCGCAGCATTCACGGTCTTCTTTTCCAACAATAAATCACGCGCCTATAACGTTAAGTGTTTCTCGGGGAACAGTAAAGGCCGCCGTCCACTGTGCGGAACGCGTGCGGTCCGTACGGAATTTGACACAGAACCCTATGGGCGCATCCGGTCCGTACGGAAATCGTGTGCACTCCGTCCGGACCGCATCCGAACGGCAATCAGCTGTTGATTTTCCGTCAGCTCTCCGCATGCGTTTCGGATGCGGTTGCTACGGAGACGGAAGAGTGATGTCCGACGCGTTGAACTTTTCTGCGGAAAACGCATCCGGAACGTCCGGAACAGACGTGGTTTGGGGCCGTATCGGAGGCAAACATTGTGAATTGTACGAAGAATTGGAACTCGATCATCATGAAGTAAGTAAAAATTATTTCCTTAGAATGGCAAGAGTATTCGCTGCTGGCTACTTGCAATATTTTATTTGGTAATAAGTGATAGGAAACATTTATTAGCTCTCCGCATCCGGACCGCATCCGGACCGGATGCGGCCAGCGTGCGGCGACATTCCGGACGGACTCCGGACGGAATTCCGTCGCAGTGGACGGCGGCCTTAAATCAAAAACCTCACACGACCATTTATATGAAATTGTGGTCACCCTACAACACTGGGCAAAGTCCAATACCTTCTCGTGTCACTTTAGATACCCTAACCAAGCCAGTGTCAGCTGCTTGGGTCATCACTGATTGGTCAGCAGGAACCGGCGGTGAACGCTAGACGGCCGGGCGGGTGGGGCGGGGCAGGTAAGCGGGATGATAACGTACCTTTGTTGTCTGCCGCGATGAAGCCCAGGATGTTCTCATGTCGCAGCATCACCGTCTGGTAGATCTCCACCTCTCGGAACCAGGAGCGCTCGTCCCGAGTCGAGAAAATCTGCCGGGGTAGGAGAATGGGACGATCAGGCTCGGGACAGAAGAGAGATGACGTCTATTTAGTCCAGGGATTGGTCAATGGAAAATATCCAACGCTCCCGTCACATCTTTGAGTCTGGAACGGGAAGTGTTCGTCAGATTATACATTTCACACTGCTTACTGAAATGGTAAAGAATGCTGAACAAGACAAGAGACGAATGGACAGGCTGTGGCCAAGGGATTCATGTAAATTGACACATTGGAGAGCAATGTAAACGAAACTGGATAGAACATAACCATTCCGGGACTCGCACGACATAATTACGAGCATTGTATATATTTTAGTTTTTTCACAAGAGTTCTGAGATTAGGCAGGTTTGCTTGTCATCGCATCAGGTATGTCATCAAACACCAATTCACTCAGTGCCGAAGGATTTACAGATTGTATTAGCGCTCACGACTAGTGATACACATCTCAAAGCGCACCGCCACTAGACTGGAGCTGAACTGGGACCCGGAAGGACTCATGGATTATCTGCCGTCTGGACACATGTTTTTTTTTTCAATTTTTGAGTGAAACTGAGGTGAAGAACGCTTATGTAGCGCTCAGTGACAAGTGAATCGGCTATGTTAGCGGGACTGGGAGAGTTCCTTCCCAAGAAGTCTGACCATGTTCGGCAATAATGACGGGAAAGTAAAATTGTATTATATTACATAATACATCAAATACCGTGAATGCATATAAACCATGCGAAAAAGGATTCAAGCATTATGCCATTTCTCGTCTAAGCCCAAAGCCAGCTAGCTCTCCAGTATCTCAATGTTTTCTGGTCGCTTGGTGAGCACTGAGCAGTGAGCACCCGCCACCCCGGGGTCGAGTGATCCCATCCCTCATGGGCCCCACAGACTGCGGTCAGGCATTCCATCCACATCCGGTGAGAGGGCCAGCTTCCGGGCAGAGTACGACGACGGAGGGGGGGGGGGGAGCCGGCATCGCGCGCGAGCCGTTATGACGCGTAACAGTGACGTCATAACCGTGGGGGACCGCGGGGGACCGAGGGGGGCGGAGCGACTCGGCACGGATGAAGGCGTCTGACAGACATCGCGCATACATACGACGTGTCGGGGTGCGGCGAGACTTAAGTTGTAACAGACGTTGGTCTGAGCGGTGATTAGCATGATGTGATCGGTGTCTGGAGCATCATATTACCGGTTTTTCACTCCACTTTTCTTGAGGCCTTAAGATGTGGTGATTTGTTTGGTAATGCTTGAGCCAGTTCAGACATAAAAAACATCCTAAGACTCGCACGAAACTGTCACGCCACGCATGCCGCAACAGCAACCCAACATTACCCTAAAAAGTTGGTCTCACAGGCTACATCAACTCAGCAAAATGAAGTCTTTTGCGTGTCATACGTAGACCACCTCTCCCGTGAACATCCCACACTTCCCTCCCCTACATTTCCCCTCGATAACCCTCCCTCCCACCTGGTCACCCACCTTAACAGCCACGTCCTCTCCGTGCCAGCGGCCGCGCCAGACGTCCCCATAGCGTCCCTTGCCGACGCTCTGGTCCAGAGTGACCTGACGCGCCACTGAGCGCTGTACGAGCAGCGGCAGGCCGGACCCGGAGCCGGAGGTGCTGGTCTCCAGCAGCTGCTTTAGGTCGCCGCCGCCGCCGGGGAAACTCAGCTCCGGGGGCTCCAGCAGGTGCTCGTCGATCTCGTCGAACGGCTTGGCCTTGAACTGGCGCCTCTTCGAACCACGGCACTGCCGGAACGGGGAGGAGAGAGGTCAGGTCAGCGGTCAGCGACGGGGTAGGGTGAGGAGACTTATTATGTTCAACATACGAGTAGGCATGCGTGGCAACATAGTTCAAGATATTATATGTATTTACATTTAAAGGGACCCTCCCACCTTCCAAAAAGTTTATGAATTGGCATGAAAGTGATGTCGCTCGGTTCAGAAAGAGCGGAAACGAATATCTACCAAATTTCATCGAAAAATATTCACTGGTTTTCAAGATATTAGACTTTTACTTTTGTTTACTTTTTGGGATCTCCGCTGTTCCTAGCGACTTTATTTAAAAGTGCGGCATTTGTTGCGCGCAACGCCGCTGTTCCTAGCGACTTTATTTAAAAGTGCGGCATTTGTTGCGCGCAACGCCGCATATACCACCGCGTGCTACAAAACGTTTTAGTCAAACATTTAAAGATCGTTAGATATCTGCGATGACGTCACACATTCAGAGGGGTATTCCTATGCATTAGCCCCTCTGAATCAAAATGCTGCAATTTTGAAATTCAATATTTCCGATTTAAGGCATTTCTCGATGTTGTGAGTGCCGAAACCGGTAATTGTGAGCCAGGGAGCGATCCACATACAAAGTGCGTGGCGATTACTGCTCAATGTCTGACAATGTATAATGTCTGACAGTGTCCTGAAAATAACGCTGCCCATCAACGCTGGCGACGGTACCAGAAAAGAACATCAAGACCAATTCAGCTCCCAAATTAGAACGAGTTAGAACCAGGATATGAGCACCAACAGACGACCAGCACAATATCTAACAAATTAGCCGAAGTTTGCTGAGGGATGGAGCCTCAGCTCCCAGCCGGTGCATCAGCAGCCATTTGGGCGGAAGTAACACTGTCGAGCTCTTGATTGGAACCGTGCGCATTTCAGCGTGATCTCTACTGTTCATTTAGCATTCCTGACGATCACATTGAGATGAACATTTCCAATTACCACAATCCACATCACACATATGATACTATCACAAAATCCATTACGTCAGCTAATTAGCCACGACGGAACTAGAAAGCTCCATCTCCTCCAAAACATCACGGTTTGTCCGGGCCAAATCGCCCCCTCCGCACACACCTCCGTACCAGTTCATGGGTATGACGTCAGGGGCCGTATGACGTTTCCCTGGGGCGCTATTTCTGGCCGGGCCCGGCCGGACGCTCTGCCGGGTCAGAGTTTCCTCGGCTCGACGGCCGCTGGGACAGCACGAGACAGCGCGGGGCGCCCCTTCGACGACAGGTGTGTTGCATAGAAAAGGGACTGGCGAGCGACGACTCCAGTCCAAGCATACAACTCAAAGAGTCAACGCTGTTCGAAGCTTATCCTCCACCCATCCTTGAGGAATCACCAGCGTTTCGAGAGATTGATGCAGCTCCAGACTTCTTAACTCTAAACTAAACTCCGTCGGATGACTTCACGTCCACCGTCGGACACCAATCCCATCAATGATCGTCCTGTTCGCAGATCAGCGCCCCTGACGCCGCCGTCGAGGTCGACATGCGTCGGCCGGTGCGGTTAGCCGGTTCCGGCGACACAGCTGCGTCCGCTGGCGGTCGGCCAGACGGCAGCGGCCGGGCGTGCGTCTTTAACCGTCACCGCCGCAGGCCCAGACGGAGCAGTGCCGCTGGCCGAGCTCAGAGCACGCGACGGGGACGGGGTGCATATCGCACACCGCATACCGCCCGCCGCGCCGCCGCGGTCCCCGACTGAGAAATGACGCGTGTGAGGGGAGACGCGCACGGGTTGGGACGACAGAAGCCGGCGAGAGGGCTGAGAGACGCGGGTGAGCGAGACGGGGGAATACATGGGACCGTAATGGGAGATAGGGAATCTGAGGGTTGGGACAGAATACATGTGACAGGTATTGTGCGGAAGAAGGAAGAATGGATAGAGATGATGTGAGTGAGAGAGAGAGAGAGGGGGAAGGGAGGGAGAAAGGGAGAGAGAAACAGAGTTGATGTGAGAGAAGGAGAGAAGGGAGGGAGGGACGGAGGAAGAGACCGAGAGAGATACATTTCTCTGTAAGAAAAAAAGCAAAAGAAGCAGTCTAATCGTATGGATATCGCTCTACAAATCTAATGATTTTCTCAGCATCACAGTGAAGACCTGCCGTGCGACCCTCCCCTAGCATCAGAGCTGTCACGCCCCCCCCCCCCCCCCCCCAGTCAGTCGTGCCCGTTCAATCCCGACAGTGACGGCACCAATATAACGCTCAGTTCACTGGTGCGGGTAGTATTGAGCGGCAACAGCTACTGCAGCTAGGCCTCGAACGGAATCACCTGTGGGCTGCTACGCAGAAACTCAGCCGGCAAAAAGGAGGACTGAAATTCATTAATTAGGAGCTGATGCACTCAGGCAATTCATAGAAGAGTAATATAGTTTGAAATCAACATAAAAACCGATAGCTATAGGCTATAGCCATTAATCATATCGCCGTGCCAATAGGTAATTTTATTTGTAAAGCAGTGTTACAATGAAGCTTAAAATGTCAGTAACATTAGCCGATATCACATTTCGCAACAAACATACCATGCCTATATAGTATGTTGATGGACCTCTTTCCGTTCAGTATGACTATGTATACTATGTAGTAATGAGCCGAGCCTACAAGCTACCGACCGAATGCATCAAATGACAAAAATCAGAACCAAATGCTATACAAATATATCACTTTTAAATTTCTATCCGCTTAAAGGGACTATCCCACCTGGCTTTAACATGGGGTTTGAGTTGAGATAGCCAAGTTTGCGGCGAGGTTCAGAAACCACTATCTATCTAGGTTGCAACCCCCGCGGCCTCTTGGTGTTGAAGAAATTCGTTCCCTTCATTTGAAAATGGGCCTTGTACAAGGCCCTATCTTCAACATGGAGCGACCGTTAGTGTGACGTCACCTCGTTTAGTCATTCTGATTTAAATGGGTTTGTTCGTTGAAAAATCGCTTAAAACTTGGTCTGAACTTTGTTGTGGTGCCTACAGAGTAAAAAGAATCAGCTTTATGACAGTAATGTGGCCTGGGGAAGGAGGTTATTTTGGGCTGTGACGTCACATATTTGAAAGTTTGTGTTTGGAATATGGGAAGCCTAAGATGTTTAATGAAAAATAAATGCCAGAACCGTGTTCCTGGTCATCCAATCTATAAAGTCGGGCACAATTTAACTGGTTTTAACAACATTTTAGAAGGTGGGATAGTCCCTTTAATACAATATCAATATCAACGTCGTCATTGTCATAACTCAGTATCGATGAAGATTGAAGAGCACCATTTCTCTTATACCTCAAGTGGCATAAGAAACTATAAAATTTCAGCAATATCTCCATTCTCCAGCATGACCGATTTCCGCTCGCCCAGTGACAATATTCCCGGTCATTCGCATTGATTCAGACCATCCTCTTCGAGCATTACTTCTATTCGCAAACTGACCTTTCTAAATCGTGTATGGTATCCATTCCACGCCACAATCCAGGCGGAGCCCTCACCAACTAGGTATGTAGCTAATACATTCCGTTTGCCTAGTTTACCTACTCAGGAAAACAAGCCTTACTGAACTTTAAAAAATCACACACAACTCACTAGACACTGTCGTTCGCCTCTTTATTCATCTTCGGTCTAGGTAACCAGGCTTGTGACCCACCATTCGACACCTACCAAATCGACACCCACCCAGTCTCCCACCCACCCACCTTTTCATACACCAGCACTGTGGTGGGTATCACCCAGTCTCCCGTTCACCCACCTTTTCATACACCAGCACTGTGGTGGGTATCACCCAGTCTCCCGTTCACCCACCTTTTCATACACCAGCACTGTGGTGGGTATCACCCAGTCTCCCGTTCACCCACCTTTTCGTACACCAGCACTGTGGTGGGTTCTACCCAGTCTCCCGCTCACCCACCTTTTCATACACCAGCACTGTGGTGGGTTCTACCCAGTCTCCCGCCCGGCGCCCACCCACCTTTTCATACACCAGCACTGTGGTGACGATGAAGAGGATGATGATGACGATGGGTACGGTGATGCGCAGCAGCAGCATCTCGCTGGTGTTATCCCAGCTGGAGCCGGTGGCCTCTGAAGGCACACGGCGGCGCGCGCGGACAGTGTCAGACACCAGACACGGGCTACAGTCTAATGGTGCTAGACAAGGACAACGTCAGACACGGGAACACGGCGTCAGACACGGGTTACAGCACGGCGTCAGACACGGGAACACGGCGTCAGAAACGGGTTACAGCACGGCGTCAGACAATTTGTAAGGCGTCAGACATGGGTTACAGCAAGACACGGGTTCCAGCACATCAGGCACGATTTACACAATACACAGGTTACAGCACATCAGGAACGGGTTAAGGCACGGCGTCTTACACGGGTCACAGCACAGACAGCGTCAGAAAAGGGTCACAGCAGGGCGTCAGACACGGGAACACGGCGTCAGAAACGGGTTACAGCACGGCGTCAGACAATTTGTAAGGCGTCAGACATGGGTTACAGCAAGACACGGGTTCCAGCACATCAGGCACGATTTACACAATACACAGTTTACAGCACATCATAAACGGGTTAAGGCACGGCGTCTTACATGGGTCACAGCACAGAGAGCGTCAGAAAAGGGTCACAGCACGGCGTCAGACACGGGTTACAGCACGGCGTCAGAAACGGGTTACAGCACAGACAGCGTCAGACACGGGTCACAGCAGGGCGCCAGACACGGATTACAGCACGGCGTCAGACACGGGTTACAGCACGGCGTCAGTCACGGGTTACAGTACGTCAGACACGGGTCACAGCAGGCCGTCAGACACGGGTTACAGCACGGCGTCAGTCACGGGTTACAGCACGGCATCAGACATAAACTACGGCGTCTAATACGACACATTGCGCAACATACAGATTGTACGGCGTGAGACTCAAGTTACATGGCGTCAGTCATGGTTAGCCAGGCGTCAAATGCGGCTTGCACGGCATCAGCCTTCCTGGTCTGTTGGGACAATACGAAAACCAACTTTATCGAGATGACAAGCCACCGGCATCGTCACCCTATTCCGCTGTCTTTCCACATTGTCCACAGGAAATATGTGGTCATACAATCACATCCCCAGCATCAGACACCATTATCATCAAACACAAACCGCGGCCATACCAGCCTGTCCTCATCTCTCACAAATACAAACACGGAGTGTCAGAGACAGGACCGTTCCCTGCACCCCACCGGCCGGCCGGTCCAGTCGCCAGCACACGGCGACAGGACATGTTTATTGACCGTGCGACGGGCCCATTGGTTACACCGTCAGACAGCGGCTACTGAGCTACGCGGCACGGAACTGCAAGTCGCCGCGGTCTGTGTGTTACTGTGGTACAGAGGCGCAGGCACGGTAGGGAGGGACAGTCGCGACTGTAGTCTGTATGCAGGTAATTGCGGGGAGGGGACGTCGAGAGTAAACAAAAGGGCAGCAAACTACCGCACACCATTCTACTCTAGAAGCGGTTTAAATAAAAAAACGAGTTAGTTTGAATTATGACCTGGCGTTGTCTTTTTAATCCTATATTAACCTAATTTTAGAATGATCCCCTCGGAAAACAATGCGCATCGTCCTGTCCTGCTTAGTTATAAGGAGACACGCATAATGTATGCTTATACCTCAGTACTTGAATGACTCCTATGCAGACTATATAGCTCAAAGCAACTAAAACTATCTATAAAACTCTATGATGAAGACTAAACTACGTTCAAGCACACAAAACTCATGCAGCTAAACAAAAAGACTGAAACAAACTAGCCAAAAACAATACATAGCCGAGCAAACGTGAAAGCAAAACGAGACAAAAACGGACAACACTACTGCTCACTACGAACGCTACGAACGGACATGACATCAGCACTTAGGTGAAAAGGCGCAGCGCGCATGGGCCAAGACGATGTTGGACGAGACAGGACATGGGACGTTGGACAAGGCAGGACGTGGGACGTTGGAATAGAGGACATGGGACGTTGGACAAAGCAGGACGTTGGACAAGACGGGACATGGGACATTGGAATAGAGGACATGAGACGTGGACAGAGGACATGGGCCGTTGAAGCCAGGATATGGGACATAGGACGAGGCAGGACTCGGGGCGCGACTGGACAATCCACACGGTGGTTATTGGGAAGGGTGCCATTATAACCATGCCGCTGCAACGGATAGGCAGTCTCGCATAGGGCAATGCGACTCGGCTTGGGCGAGACCCAAACAAATGTACACACTGCATGCAAATACCAACCGCGTGACGGCGGAAGGGAAGCTCACCTGGCCCGGAAAAGTACAAAGAGGTTCGGCCTCCCCACTAACAGGTTTGCCCTCCCACACTGAGAGAGCACGCACAGGCACACATGCACGTGGCGAGCACAAGCACACAAGCACAAACTGGCAAGCGGTCTATGTCACAGTTTGGACGAAGCCGACCATGCGCGAGGGCGAATCATTCAGGCTAAGTGTCGGAGACTATGTTGCTTATAAATTGCGTTTTTAGTACCTAAGTGACGCAAAAACAAAACTAGAGCAGCTCCAGCAACGCCAAATGAGCCTGAATAAGAGATAATTTGGAATACGGAACAACTGCCGTGTCAATCCGATTAATACGAAGGTATATACCGAAATTATGTTGTCAAAAACTCATTCTACGACTGCCTTAAGTTCTCGGTTCCTTGCCAATAATCCCCTCCAGCTAAGAAAATATCGATCTGATTGCACCATGGACTGCCGATTTCGTTCGGGATTAGGCCAGCTTCATCTGGCAAAGTTAGACCAAAGCGATAAAAGGTCACCGTAATTCAGTTACTCGATAAACTCTGCCGTCGGAGCGTCAGTTCCTCTGATTTCCAGAAACCCATCTACATACAAAGTGGACTACGTTGTAACAGTTCATTGAACAGTTCCCGAAAACCTGCCGAATGCAGCCACGCATGAAAAGGCGACCCGAACCTTTCTACCGCATTAAGTGTGCTGTCTGATTTAACCAATCCCTTTTGAAAGCTTCTCGCTTAGCATGTCCACCACGGTGAACACTACTGCGATTGAAACGGAGCACCTGGCCCCTGATTTTCATTTAAAAAAAAAATATCGCAGTTACTGCACTTTACCATGTACAATTTTTGTCTCGTGATTTTCCGATCCAATACACCCTCCCTTTTTATCTCATCTACAAACAGTAGTTAGCCACGACAATCGTGACAGCTCCGCTGAACTTCTTCTCCCCTTTACCACATCAATGAACAACATCATCTGGGTGTCGGCAGCCTATTCGGCTTCCGCGGCATCAATGTCATCCACTACAGCTACGTCACGTGTGTGTCTGGAGGCGTGCGGTCCACCCACCTGCGCGAGCGACAACATACAGCTGCGGCGAGAGCAGACGGTTGCAGAGGTCGCCATCGCAACACGCGCTGGCGTACGTCCTGTTGTTAGAGCTGCTAGCATGGCAGACTATCGGGTTCTCGGGCGGCGTCAGCTGGTGCAGGGGCAGACACCTAGCGGCACGGCGCGAGTCACAGCCTGGCCGGTCGCCGACAGGTGGCGCCAGCGCCGCGCGGCCCGGGCGCTCCGAATTGCCGAGCGACGGCGGCGTTAGTGGGCGGGTCAGGGTCCGGGCGAGGGAGAGGGACTGGGCGGGGTTCACACCACACGGCACGGCACCCGGCCACCCCGGCACGGCACGGCACGGCACGGCCGGAGGGCGCCCGCTCACCTGGCGGCGGCGGCGGCGGCGGCGCCAGCGTCGGCCGCAGCTGGCCGTTGCAGAAGTCCTGGCCGCGGCAGCAGAGCATGCTGAGCGTGGCCGAGGCTCCCTCGTCCGGGTTGCACCAAACGGGATCGTCCGGAGGGAGGTACTGTTCGTGGTCTAGGCAGCTGCGCGAGCGACCGGCCCGTGTCGGAGTCAGAGCGATATCCGTAGGGCTCCCGGACGGTGACCCACTGTTCTCTCCCCTTCCCCCTCCCCTCTTCAGCCCAATCTCTTAACCCGAACGGATAGCGACATTGTGGATACCGTATGGTTTCCAACGGGAAGTGATTTCTCACTTACAGCTCTTACCTTAGCAAAGGCGCCAATCAGTTGCTCAGAAGAATTCGATCCTACAGTGCTATAGCCACGCTTATCGGTCTAAAACGACTGGACTGGAGGACTGGATGGATACTAGCCCAAAGCACGGCAGAGAAGGCGACCTATTACAATTTACCCTAGTGCATCGTCCGAACTTCACATCACAGGCGGCACAGTACGATCACTGCCACATCAAAGGTGCGAATGTCGCTGATAGGAGAGTCCTGTGCCATAGGATTTCAGGTAATGCCACGGCTACGAACCAGAGCAGTACAACTTCATTCGCCTTCAGGTTACCCGGCATCTAACTTAAGTCGTCACAAAAGTAGACAGTAATGGACGGCGCAAGATGGATCTTGAGCCCATTTCTCACTTTTCCAGCTAAAAGAACTAAAGAGCTTCCCAGTGCCACACAGTAGGGTGAAAAGACGTTTGACCTCAGAATTTCACTCCGTGAAGCCAAAGGTTTGTGTTCAGTCCTTACAAATAATTATAATACATTACTTTTTGTTTCCTGATGATAATACATACTTGCTTTGATATCACAGTTGGATCACTATTTAACGGGAAGAATCAAACTCATTCTATTGGTGGATAGGTACTTGCCTGAGCACGAGCCACACCTTAGACGTCGACTGGATTATTTTAGACGTCACGAAAATAAGCCGATGATTCGCGGTAGAAATCAGTTCTAATCAACAGCTTATTGTAAAGCAAAGGCCACGGTAAAACCCGACAGAGCAGAAGCAGAGACTTTACATAGCTGAACCTGAGACACTCAGGCCCAGACGCCGCGGTGTCGTCATTGAAATTGAGCTCCAGACTAAGGAAATGACATTACTGAGCATGGAATTCTTAAGGCCGGGCTCCACTACGCGTTTTTTCCGTGCGTTTTATCCGAGACATCGGTTTTTGCGTGAAATCGTTCCCGAAAAAAAGTTCGCATCATTGCTCAACATTGGGCAAGCTACACTGGGAACGATGTCACGCAAAACACGACAACTTGCAAATTCCGTACCGATTTTAAGGAAATCTCGGTAAAACGCATGACGATGTCACGCAAACTCGGAAATCTCGTACCTATAAAAAGTTCAATTATTTGAACTTTTCATCGTTTTTTGCGTGATCTCGGCCGGGAGACATGACTTGTGCGCTGCGGCAAACAATGTGAATGTACTTTTGTGTTTGTTTTTGACGTTGTTAAATATGTTTTTAATTCGTGTGTTGAAGCTAGGAAATTTTTGTAGAAGTTTTTTAGTGTGAAGAGGATGAGTGAAGGTAACATAGCAACCCTACATATTTCATTTTGCGCTTAAAGCAGTGTCAATGCAGGGGAAAATGGTTTTAATTCAAATAGAAATTGGCGGAGTGGTGATAGATGAGTGGTCGGTAGAATGATGTGCACAGTGCACACGCGCTTTATGTAAAAGTGGATTATTTCGGCACAAATAGGCGCCCAACTTTCATGGTAAGTGATGCAGAAATTTCAGCTCAAAATTGCTTGTGTCGAGTTTCGGCGCATGAGGGTCTCACGGGCGTCCAGCTAGTGTATGGATGTTTTCCAGTCTGTTGCATGGTAGGCGGAATGTTAAGAATAAAAAATCCCTTGCCCTCTTCAGCCACCAGTGGCTAGCTATGAAACAAGTTATGTATTTAAGCAAGTTTATCATAGGTGCAAGGCTAGCAACATGTGCAAGACACTATTTTATAAAAGTTTGGCTTACTTTTTATTAAATGTTCCTACTTGCAAAACACCTTCTTTATAGGCTCAAAATAAACAAAGTGTGATTTTCCGCGTAGTGGAGCCTGGGTTTAATGACAACAATAATGTCACGTGCTTCAGGATGACAAGCAAAAAACGATATCACGCAAAAACCGACAAATTGCAAAACCGATTTCACGCAAAAACCGATGTCTCGGATAAAACGCGCGTAAAAAAAACGCGTAGTGGAGCCCGGCCTTTACGCATTTATACTGAACGCAAGTGCTAAAAGTCACACGTCTGACCCGCGATGCTTCGACGTTGGAAGCCTTGAATGTGAATAAGCCTTTGTGACCGATCTGCGCCCGGCCGTCTGTCCCACAATTCAGTGGAGCGCCGGGCGTGGCATTTCAGTCGCCCGGGCACGAATAAATCACCATCCATTGAACCAGAGTTGATTACTCTGCCTGACAAATGGACTGGCGGCCGGCCGGGCACCTGTGACATTTCGACTTCCATACACTTGAACGGGCTTAAACAAATGGTGCAGGACGGCTATCAAAATGGCATCTGGGGACAATTACTCATCCGAAATGGCAGACGGCGTGAATTAACGTTTAAATTGGACTCAGAATTGAAAAACTAGGTGTTATTGAGACAACGTGTGAAAATATGTTTAGAAAGGACGTGTGAGAGTGACTTACCGCAATTCTGGCAGGATGAGAACTAATTTGTGCGCGCACTTCTAAGTTATTTTATGAGCGGCTGTCAAACGGTGGACATTTGTTGCCTGCACAAAACCAATTTAGCCAATCCTTCTGGAAATATTGCGTACTGCATTACTGCATAGTTAGATTTCTAGCTCACCTGTTTATTTTGTCAATCTGCTTACGTTATTATGGCACATTACAACAGTTTTTGGATGTTACCAGCTTCATTGCAGCAAAGCTGTTCATGAACGAAGGTACCTAACTGAAGTGAGTTTGCCTTCAAAACTACATAAAGAAATCATAACACTCATATCAAGGAAGGAGACCTCAAGATCCAAGACTGTAACAATATTTTCATTTAAAAACTAATTTCTTAAACGATCTTTCGAATTACATTTAGGCTCCAGTGTGTGTCATCATGCCTAGTCTCGAAGCCAACAACGATGTCGGATGCTGTGGCATTCCACTCACTTGTACTTGGTGACGATCTCATTGTTGTCAGCGTGCGGACTTTTCTTCTCTACCGAAGTGAAGCACACTCCGTCCGTCTCACATGTATCGCCGTGACTGGGACACTCTGAGTTGCAGTGACACAACAGACCTGACAAAAAAAAATAGAGAGATCAGGTCATCGCGCGCAGCTGAAAATCAGCACAAGAGAGAGAAGAAAAAATGAATCAGGTCATTTTCAAGTTAGAGCATTGTGTAACTGTTGTCTTCTCGAGTCGCGGGAACATATCATTTGCCTTTGTGCACATCACCTTCCGAGTCGTAACCCGTACCCCGCTACCATATCCAGGCAAATGAGCCACTCAACAAGGTAGGAAGAGAGGCTGCCCTCCTCGCCTAGCGCCCGAGCAGATAGTCGAAGAGATATTCCTCAAACAACACCCATCAACATGGATAATTTCAAAAGCAAAAAGCTGTTCAGGGAAATAATTTCTTAATCCGCGCCCTGATGGGAATCTCAGCCACATTCGACGTCACGGTGGGGGGGGGGGGAGGAGGCGTATATACTACATAGCCACAACCGATTACCTAAATAAAAATTTTTGAAAGCTAGAAAGACGTCGGAGAAGTCGGAAGAGGTCGAGTTCTTTCGGAGATATATCGAACATTTTTCGATCGGGTCAATGCTGATGTCACTGGGCTACAAAAAGTAAACATATTCCTGAATAATTTTCCCGATTTTTCAAGATAATTCCTCACCCTTGGAAGAATGCCTCTTCAACAACAAGAAAAAAAAGTACAGCGCCGAAGAAAGGCGCTTTCGATAGCTCTTCTACAGCTCTCATTCCGTATTTAATATAACCCTCGTTAGCATTGGTGTTTTGTCGCCGTCTAACGTATGGGGGGGGGGGTCGTTAGACCCCCTTACCGTTCGGCCCCTGATCGCGCTAGAGCTTCGCGGAAAAAAACGAGTGTGTTGCCCGTCGCAAGAGAAAGTCGATGATACCCAATTTTAACCCGCGCCCCACTTGGGTCTGTGTAGGTATAACACGCCCCACTGGGGGGGGGGGGGCATTCATAGCCCCACCCCCCACCCCCGTACTACCTCCGAAACTACTGGGCCGATCGTCAAAATTCAAACGGCATCTGATAGCCCCGGAAAAACTGTCGAACGAATCCTAATTTCATTTACCTCGAGGTCACCGATGACGTCACAGGTCAGGTCAAAGTAAAAAATTATCGATATTTGGCTTGTTCACTTTTTGGGCTCTGGCTACCGTCTTACAAGTCAGATCAGGCTGATTTTTGGTTTACACACTCGTGAACAGATGCTTTATATACCCTGAGGGTACGAAACTTGTACTTTGATTTTCAGGTCAGGGTCAGGTCATCATAGATCACGGAAATCTTATGTCATAAGTCGGTCAAGTGACACATATTTTATGGTCCATTTAGACCATAGATTTCGAATTCGGTGTCACCTGTGTCATTTGAAGCCATTTTCATCTGAATATAGCTGAGGTCAGGTCACTTTCAGGTAAAAAAAGGTCAAATTTCAAAGTTGAAATTTTTCAACAAAAAACATGACTATCGGATGGCGTTTGAGCTCAGGAACACGGTGGTGCTATTTATATCCGAAGGTTGGGACTTTTCAATTAGACAATCACTATTCTTTATATTGATGTACGATATCAAATTTGTACAGAAAAATTGATTTGAAAAATTTAAAATTGTGAAATTTTTGCTATAATGCGTATAACTTCACCATTTTTTAAGATATCTGGCTAAAACTTGCTAGAGTAAGTCATAAGCATGTGTTCTATCATATATATTCCGTTTTTTTCGAAAAGTCAAAAAGTTTTTTGAAAAAAAAGATAAAAATACATATTTTGAATTCTAATATTGATAATTTTCGAAATTTTCACAATTTTGAAAATTCGAGATAGCAGTTTGATAGCGCAGTCCATTCTGAGTCCTTTCATGCAAAGAAATTGGATCTAGCTCAAAAACTGAGCTCTTGGGAGCGATTCCCGTGGTTCAATGTTTAGCGTCGAAATCGGCCGAACATGACGTCACTCTGAGTCATTTCCGGCTGACCTATGATAGATGCCAAGTCCAAATTTCGACACAAGGTGTCAAATTGATGCAGCCGAAGGTACTGAAAGTTTGGCGGCGATACGTCAAGCAGTTTAGAAGTTATTGCAGAAAGACGGGAGGGGGGCTCTGTAGAGCCCCCCCCCCCCGTCATGCGCGGATTATGTTTCTGGTCTATCTCTGCTATGAAATGGTTTTAGCTACAGTTAGCATGAACATCTTCCAGACAGAATCTATCCCAGCAGAATAGCATTTAGCATCCCAGCAAGACAGTAACACATAGGTACAGCAGGTACACTATTTCTTACCTTCTGTGAGGACTGCCTGAAACCATATCCCAAGCAGAAGAGGAGCCACAACAGCTGATGGCATCACCCAGCTGCAGACTTGAGCTCTATTTTTATGTGACATCACATTCGCTGTATGATCACAGCATCACTGAACTTCATGAACTGGAGAAATGATATACTAACTCACAAAGAACAATGCTGTCATTTAGCCCCTCAGAAACAAAAGTCTTGTTCACAGCGAAGATGCAGGCACCTGGAGGATATATCAATTCTGAAATATGGAAGGGTTTTATCATTTATACATGACACAATCATATGTTTACTAATTTTGAGCATTTGTCTTATGTCTATACCTTCAATGTTTCTGGAGCCAACAGAAATTAAATTAGCCAAAAATCTAGAAATGAGGGGGTTCAACCACTTTAAAAATAAGCAAGGTAGCCATTTAAAGCCATAGGTTACATAATGCAACATTTTGATAGAATAATCCAAGTCCCAAGAGTTCTAAATGCTGTTATGCCAAAGAATTGTACGTCTTATACTCTTCTTAACTTAGTGCTGTATCCTATTAATATTTGATACTTAGGTAACCAATAATGAGTTCAATGCTGGATTCTACATACTCTTGTTTTGGACATTTAAATCTGTATGCACTAATGCATAATAATTCCAACTTTTAACATTAACTGAAAAAGCTACAAATCAAAGTAGTGGTTAGCATGTGGGAAATGCATAACAATAACTGAATGTGAAGACTGAAGGTTTTAAATAGAAATGAGAAGTGGAAAGAACTGGTGCATACTGCATGTTCAACATTTAATAGCTTTGCTCTCAATAGGACCCAAATCAAGGAAACAATCACAAAACAAATAGTTTTTAAATGAGAATTACCTTCAGTCAAATGATAAAATGGATTGTTAAGTGAATGGTGCCCTGCCCTGCCAGCTGCCCATGGAGACAGAGATCTCAGAAAGTCAGTGTAGGGCAATGCCCCACCCTCGTTTGAATAATCAGTAGTAATAGTGAAAGGGCCGGGGCCAATCATTAGCCAATCCACTTCCCATGTAAGTCAGGGCAGGCAAACAATCATCTACATAAGGGTACATTCTCAATTTTTTAAGGCTGCCTTATTGCTTGAGTGCTTTCATGAAAATAGGTAGCATGAGAAGCATCAACGTCAACATGTACGGCCCTCCAGCAAGAGTGGTTGGTTCAGGTTAAAGGGACCCTCCCACCTTCAAAAAAGTTAATGAATTGGCATGAAAGTGATGTCGCTCGGTTCAGAAAGAGCAAAAACGAATATCTACCAAATTTCATCGAAAAATATTCACCGGTTTTCAAGATATTAGACTTTTAGTTTTGTTTACTTTTTGGGATCTCCGCTGTTCCTAGCGACTTTATCTGAAAGTGCGGCATTTGTTGCGCGCAAAGCAGCATATACCACCGCGTGCTACAAAACGTTTTAGTCAAATATTTAACGGACGTTCGGAAGCCTGATGACGTCATCAGATTCCCGTAATGGTTAAGAGATAGGGACCACGCTGGTCCCACCCTGCAAGTAAAGGGAAGAAATTTCTTGAACACCATAAAGCTGCGGGGGTTGCGACCAGGATAAATGGTGGTTTCTGAGCCTGGCCGCAAACTTGGCTATCTCAACTCAAAACTAATGTTAAGGTGGGAGGGTCCCTTTAACCTAGGTACCTATGTACTTTTGGTGTAATAACTTTGAATGACAGAGACACTCCTGTAAAATGACTCAATAGAAATGAGAAGAGGGTTCGTGCACACACTTCGGCAATGGTTTTCAACAGCCATTAGACAAATTCATCAATGCAGATCGCTTATTGTGATGTTGGCAACCAACCATTAAATACCTGGAGGGCCGTACCTGCCTAGCTTAACTTCTTGACTGCTAAAAAACATCTTGCTCTTGACTTAAATTTAAGACTTTCTAGTTCCTATTCATTCCCGTTGCTTCCCTCGTAACACATTTCAATTTGTCTGTCACTTATAAGGCTTTAACGACCTGCCAGGTCAGCAGGCTGCAATAATTAACTTATATAAGGTTTTGATCACCCAAAATGTAATTACAGTAACTCTGCAGTCTTCTGCAATGGGAAGGGCAGCATTGGCATGGTGGCTCGGGCCCGGGGCACAATGTGTTCATCCCAAACAACTGTGCTGGTGCAGTGATCAGAGTTCTTCAGTGTTGGTGTGTTCCAGTTGTCCAACACAATGAAAGCAAGACAATACCTACATAATAATACAAAATTCAGGGAATATTTTGATATAGGTATCAGTATGGGGCAGCTTTGGCCTTTAAGCTTTAATCACAGACACAGATCCTAAAATCTCACTGAGGTTGAGGTAAGAACAAGTCCTTCACAAAGGTTTGGTTTACATCCATCACAACTGCTGGCTAGAGCAATTAATTCCTGCATGGGCTGAGTAACAGTAAAGCTCAAGCTGTGAGCGGTGAAGATAACCCGGCCTAAGAACTGCTTCAAAATGACTTCATTTGAATATCCAGTTATGAACAACGAATTTACGCAAAGCAGAAAAATATGCCCAAACAGTTGCTCAAAAGATTACACCTCTCAGCAATTATAATTCATACTTATTCATATACACACTGCACTCTCTGATCTACCTCCGCAGCAGAGAAGTTGGGAAGTTTGTATTCGACCCCCACCGGACACGATTTGGTAGCCGAGGTCTGTGACGTCAGCCGGGCGTGAAGTTTTCCCTTCACCATAGGCTTCACACACAAACCGGCCGAAGTTCATGCCAGGATAGCCCGGCTTGAAAGTGCAAAAATGATTAAATTTTGCCCTCAATAGATTCATTGCTTCATTTTATAACTAAAAACGTCCGTTATTAGGACTCAATGAAGGTAAAAAGTACTCAAAATCGAAGTTCAAGAAGATGCTGTCCGAGCACAATCTGGTAACATCACGTGACCTCTTTTAAGCAGAATGTATATAATTCAAGGATGTTATTACACGATTGCTGCCTAAAACATCATAAATAATACGCTTGTAACATTTATTGCTTCTGTTTAAGTCATAACATTGCAAAACGCAAAGTTTATCATGGAAGTCACGTGACCAAAGGTATAGCAGGGGTTGGGACAAGCACTCAAAGGATTTCAAGTTTTTTAATTAAATTATATAAGTTTCATGATGAAATTGAAAGAATGTATTTTTTCCTAATGAAATACAAATTTCCGTATGTAAAATATTTTCCTTATGGGCGAAATTCTCCATATAAGAAATGTCAGTGACGTCACCAGGGCTTTACTGGGCTTTACTCAAAACATCGGACCTACCTGTTTCTTATAGGTATCTTGTTTGTATTTTTGGTTTGCGTGTTTTGTGTTCCCAAAATGAAATCAAGGCAAAATAAAATGGATGTTACGACAAGATGAACGTGAGTAAGAAATGGCGTCATCAGAAAGAACAAAAATCATATCATATGTATTGTTCTAGCGAAAATCATCTCTGATTGAATATTCAAAAATTTCATTAAACAAAGCAAACTTTGTGAATATGAATTCAATCTACTTGATTTTAACCGTAAACACAATACTTGATACTCGTGATAAGCACCACAAAACAAATAGCCAATAGGTGGAAATTACGTTTGAAACGTCATCAAAAACACTTTACGTAAAACAAAACCACTTTATATTGGAAAATACGTTCGTGAAATAAGCACTGGTTATAGATTCTAAATCATCGTTAAAATATATAACAATTTATAGCTAGCCCTTTATACCTGCCTATTTTCGTGTTTTCGTCATCAGCAGGCTAGCCAAAAACGTATCAACAAGCGCCCTGCTCGAGCAGGGGTGTTAAAACATCCCGTCAGGTTTTTGCAAATATCTTAAATTTGGCCAACCTTATCATATAGGACATAGGACAGGTAGACATCATTTCTACACATGCCAGACGTGTCAGACCAAAATCAGGTCACTTGACGTCAGGGTTGCCGAAACGATGGATTTTCGGCGATTCCGACTCCGACTCCGACTCCGGGCCGAACTGCCGACTCCGACCGACTCCAATATAGACTCCGACTTCGACTTCGTAGACCTGGCAGTGCTGCGGAGTCGATGAATTTTCGGTGACTCCGGCTCCGACTCCGGCTCCGGTTCTGAAAATCGACTCCGACCCCGAATCCGACCCTGGTCACAACTGTCCACTCCGACTGACTCCGACTCCGACTACGACTCTGCAGCCCTGCTTGACGTGACCTCACCTCAGAAAACGTCCCAGTGCGAGTCATTACTAAACCGAGTGAGTGATGTAGTTATCGCTATGAACTGTCAGCAATTTATAAGGGCAGCCCGCAACAGTGTGTGTAAAATGTATTTAAGGGAATTTTGATACTGGTGACCTAAGGTCAGGTTAACTCTGCGACCTCTCCATTATAACTAAGGCAGTGGGAGGGAGTAAATTAACCCGCGCCCGGCTGGGGGTCCTGGATTTCCACGCCCTGCTGGGGGGGGTGTTTGAACACCCCCCCTTGTAACTCGGCTCCTGGGCCACGTAGCGATACGCGGAAGGCGGCGTTCGAAAGAGCGTCAAAAATAATGACGAAATCACTTCGGTCAATTTTTTGGTCAGGTCAAAGGTCAGGTCACCAGAGGTCATTGAAGGCAAAATTTCGCCGATTTCCAGGTCGAATACCGAAAATTTCCAAGAAGCCAACGCATAACTCGGGAACCAATAGAGCTACAGCGCCGCGGAAAAGCGCATTCGATAGCCCTATTAACGCCCTTTCTGATCAATTCTCTCAGATTTGACCTAACGTCAACGGTTTTGCCTGCAGGGGGCAAAAACTGCAAAAATAGCCGGTTTTTTCGGAAACAGTTTTTCGGCAATAACTTTTGACCTAAGACTTGTACGAGCTTACTTTTACCGGCATCGTGTTCCTCTCGTCAAGACGCATCGAATGAACTCTAACTTGACCTTGAAAGGTCAACTTGAAAATTTGACCTCAGGTCAAGGTCATGACCTGACCGGAAAGGGTCATGTTGCATATCAGTCGATCCGTATAGTCGAGCTGAACACATCTAAGGCGTTTTCATCGCTCTACTATGCCTCTATCAAAAGTTATTTGCGAAAAACTGTTAGATACCATTCGTGACCTAAGATGACCTCAGGGCATAAACAAGGGTCACGGACACCATTTTCATGTTCAGTGTGTCTAAACCACTTGTAATTCAGTGTTTGGGAGTGTTTATAATGTCTTTCGTCCAAAAGAGGCGCATTTCAATTTTCTCCCATTGACTTATAATGGGGAGGTCGCAAAATTGACCTGACCTTAGGTCACCGATATCAAAATTCCGAGATATACATTTTATAGATACTGTTACCCTCATCAATTGCTGAAAGTTTCAAAGCGATCGGTCACTCGGTGTAGCTATGACAGACATTGAAACTTTTTATGAGGTGAGGTCACTTCAAGTGACGTTGTGACCTGACCTTGAATGACCTTGGTCTGAAATTTTCACAACATGTGTAGAATTGATGTATGATAAGGTGTACCAAAAACGGCGGCGCTCCGCGCCGCCGTTTTTGAGATATTCGCGAAAAACCACAAGGGGGGGGGTGTTCAAACACCCCCCCCCAGCAGGGCGCGGGTTAACGGCGACTCTTTTGGACAAACTTATTTCTAAACAATCTGATGACATGACACCGAGTACGGAGTAACAACATAAAACATAAGACACTGAGTACCTACGTGACCCTTCCTTATTCCTTATGTCCCTGAGGTTGTCTCAGCTTACGAGAGGTGCCCAACAGTTTTATCTAATAACGTTTGATAGAGGCGTGCTAGAGCAATGAAAATATCTTAGATATGTTCAGCCCGATGGGCAACGATACGGATCGACTGATGTGCAACACGATCTTTCCAGTCTGGTTACAAATTTTAAAGTTGACTTTTCGAGGCCAAATTACAGTTCATTGGACGTGTCTCGCGGACGAAAAGATCACGATGTCGGTAAAAGAAAGCTCGTATTTTCTTCTTTTTTGAAAAGTTATTGCAGAAAAAACTAAGCTAAGAAAACTTTAAGAAAAAAGATGCTAAAGCATTGAGTCCAAATCTTAGGAAAGGCTTAAAAAAGAGCGTTAACCCGCGCCCCACTGGGGGGCTATTTATAGCCCCCCTCCCGTTTTTCTGCAATAACTTCCAAACCGCTTGACGTATCGACGCCAAACTTTCAGTACCTTCGGCTGCATCAATTTGACACCTTGTGTCAAAATTTGAACTTCGTACCTAACATAGGTCGGCCGGAAATAACGTCAGAGTGACGTCATGTTCGGCCGATTTCGACGCAAAACATTGAACCACGTGGTTCAATGTGCCGTGGCCACGATTGCCGTGGCCACGGCAATCGCTCCCAAGAGCTCAGTTTTTAAGCTAGATCCAATTTCTTTGCATGAGAGGACTCAGAATAGACTGCGCTATCAAACTGCTATCTCAGATTTTCGAAATTTTGAAAATTTCGAAAATCTAATCTATATTATGATTTATAAGTTGTCTGTACGATCTCCATCCGTGTGTCATGTCTTATGTGTCTTAATGCGCCGGAACGGCGCCGCGTATCGACGTGAAATTTGGCATGCCGAATTAGTGGGTTGATGTGACCTCTGTATTAAAATTTGGGGGTGATCGGCCCTGGGGTGCGCCGTCAGCGCGTGAATCTCTCCCGCATGACGGGCCGCGGCTGGCGCCGAGCGGAGAGCACGTGCTCTTGGCTCATTTTCTTCGCTGCCAAAACTGAACGAAAAGCAGCAGAGCCGGCAGGTCATTGAACTTTGACAACGAACACCGGCGCAGGGCACCGCTCGCGAAGGGGATTCGCTAATAAATAAAGTAAATTTATTCTTGCAACAACTCAGCCACTACTGGGCCGATTGTGCTTAAAGTTGAACTGTGGGTGGGCAGGGCACTCACCAGGCGATGCATGGCCATGTGATAAAGGTGCGGTGGACCGACTGAACGTGCGCACGTGAGGGGTCGGTCCTATATCTAAGGAACGGCTGGGCCAATTGCGCTCAAATTTGGGACACAGCTTCAATCGAGTATGAGTAGGGTATGAGTAGGGTAGGCTAGAGTATGTGGAGGGTATGAGCAGTGTATGGGTAGAGTAGGGTATGGGCAGGGTAGGGTATGGGCAGGGTAGGGTATGGGTAGCGACCCAAATAATACAAATAAACGATTTTTAACCCAGCATAATGCATCCGTAAAACCAATTTAACCAAAACGTACAGTTATAGCGCAAAACATGCCGTCTAGTACAATTAAATTAAAAAATTATATTTTTACATTTTTTCAAGAAAAAAAATTGACTTTTCGAAAAAAACGAAATACATGTGATAGAACGCATTATTATGACTAACTCTAGCAAGTTTTAGCTAAATATCTTCAAAAATGGCCAAGTTATACGCATTATTGCAAAAAATTAACAATTATTAATTTTTCAAATCAAATTTTCAGCACGAATTTGACATTGTACGCCAATAAAAATAGCACCATCGTGTTTCTGAGCTCAAACTGCATCCAATAGACACCTTTTTTGTTGAAAAAAAAAATTAACTTCAAAATTTGACCTTTTTTGACCTGAAAGTGACCTGACCTGAGCTAAATTTGA